TAGCTACACGGAATCATTTTACAACCCTCTTTGTTGACAAGTTTATGGCTTGACGCGGTTTGTAATAATTATTAAATCCAAAATATTTTAGTGCAAACGGCTTCCTTTTAGTCATAATGACTCTATTCCAACTACAGTATTAATTTTCTTGGTCCAACTTAATAATAATAAATTTGATGCGAAAAAAATTTTTCTATTCTTAGTCTATGGAGAGATATTGTTGTAAATTATTGGTTGTTATAGCTTTTTGTACATTTCTTTTTGAACTCTGGTTAGTTTTTTCTAGTTTGAATGACATTAGGTTGACGAATAAGCGTCTTTTCAGAAGAGATTGATTCAAATTCGACAATACCAATCAGAATCTAGAATGTTAAACAAATCATAAAAAATCGTTATTTTCATAGTTTTTCAGCGCTATTTTCATTAATTTTTGTTATTTGACGCTATTTAGACGAATAAGCAAATTTTCTGAAGCATAAAATTGAAGATTTCCGCCAAAATAGAAACTTCCTGATAACATCGGAAATGACGTTCTAACATCATTTTATTTTATTTGATTCTTCAAAAAATTGTTATAATACTATGTATTAGACTTAGAATATTCGATATCTAAACCAGAAAGTGTTAGCTAGAAATAGACTTATTTATAGAACAACCTCCCATTTCTCACTTCAGGGAAAGTTAGAAAACAGTTGGATGCTAATGACTTTGTGAAAGGGAAAAGTTCTACACTTAGAAACTTCGAAAGAAGGGATTTGGCCTGTACCATCCGCGGGCCGCATAAACATTGATAAGGGGCTGTATGTGGCCCACGGGCCGCAGGTTGTGCACCCCTGCAAGAAATATGATAGGCTACTTACAGACTTTGCACCATTTGGATCGTTTGGATCACCATTGTTTAAGCTTGTTTCTGTTGTGGAGTATCCTGTTGGATGGAAGACAAACAAAATGTATCATCTACAAACTGCAGTTTGGTATACATTGCATTATTTATATTCTAGTAATATTTCTTCTTTATCTTCATCTTTTCCCATGTTTATATGGGGTCAACGTTTCCTTCTCTAATATGTTTTTTCCATTTCTCCCTATCAAGGGCTTTTTCTCTCTTAAGTCCCCTGTAATTCAAGTCTTCTTCCACCTTATCTTTCTAATCCATCTTTGGTCTTCCTCTTCCTCTTTCCTTTTACTACCAGTTTTCCAATCTTCTTTCTAACATAGTTGTCACTTCTTTGCTCTATGTGACCAAACCACCTCAACCTACATTCTTGCGTCTTTCCGCATTTGTTCTCTTCCCAACCCCGGACCCGGACCCCGAGCGACTGGCAAGCGCACCGCTCGGCAAGTGGAGGTTGCGGGTTCAAAAGCGAAGAGTAGCTCGGGGTCCGGGTGGCGTAACTGGCAAGCGCACCGCACAGCAAGCAGAGGTTGCGGGTTCAAGCCCCGTCCCGGGCCAGTTTTTTTTATTCCAGAAGGTTCTAAATTTATTTAATAATTTATTTATANATTGTTCTTTTTCTCTATTGTTTATAATTTTATTATGTTGTTTATATTTTGTTAATATTTTATTGGGTTTTTTTAATCTCTTGTTATCAGGGGATGGAATCCAATTGTCTCCAACATTTCCAAATGTAAATAAATAAATGCTCAACTTATTACATATGACCCTGCAAGATACTGAGATGTACATTCTGCAACTGTCAGACAAAATTTCAACCTTCAGAAATAAATTACTATTGTGGAAAAAAAAGCTGGATGATAAAGATGTAAATTACTGCTTTCCTATTTAATCCATTAACAGTCTACTCATATTGAAAAAAGATGAGTGACTAAAATTTCTAAAACAGAGAATTAAAAATAAAAAGCAAAACTGCTCAATTCAAAAAACAATAAAATAAACATAAAATGATTTTTAATAGATCAGTCATTAGCAATCCACAGCTTGCAAGGTTGTTCCTAGGGCTTTGACAGTATAATTTTATTTTCCTGTATCTCATGCCATTATGCAACTTTAAATGAGCAGATATTCATAATGAAAAACATTCAAAGTAAACTTGACTAGTGAAAAGATGAGAATAAACTAGTAGGTCTACCATATATTGATATATTACTGATTTGCATGTCATTAGCATATATTATTTTAGTATAGTGATTTTAGATTTAGTACCACTTAAAGAGTTCAATGCTGATGCAATTTGTGAAGCAATTAAATTTTCCTTGAGAAATAATGCTGTGGATTTGCATAAACTCGTTGCAATTGGAACAGATAACGCTTCTGTAATGATAGGAATCAATAATGGTGTATATGCTAAACTCAAAGCTAAATTACTTGCTTTGATTCCGGTACATTGCCTCTGTCATTTGTTACAATTAGCTATTTCCCACTCTACAAAAGAAGACCTTCCAAGAAATATAGAATTTCTTATTAAAGAAACATTTAATTGGTTTTCTCATTCTGCAATTAGACAATCCAAATACAAGTAACTCTATTCTTTGATGAATGATGGAAATGAACCATTGAAATTAGTACAAAGTAGTGAGACTCATTGGATGTCAATTCAGACCAATATTGATAGAATTTTGAAACAATGGAATGATTTGAAGGCAAATTTTAATTTGGCCAGAACAAACAAAAGATGTTTTACAGCAGAAATTTCGTTCTCAATGTTTGATGATCAAAGAAATTTCTTATTTCTTTTATTTCTTAAACCTGTACTTGATGAAGTTCAGAGGTTAAATAAAATATTTTAATCTGAGAATAATGATCCTACGAAGTTACTACAGGACTTGCTAAATTTAATAGAATCTTGTTGTTCTAAGATTGTTATTCCAGGAACAAAAATAACAAATGATGTAGTGATTGAAAACCATTTAGCACTCAATCCATATTTGGGTTATCAGTTTGAAACTGAAATAAACAATTCTGCACTGTTAGATAAAGAAAAGAAAAATATTCATAGTTGCTGCATTGCCTTCCTTTTGTCTCTTGTAAAACAACTTTGGCAAAGGTTACCTGACAATATATCAATGTTGAAAACCATGACGTCACTAAGTATTGACCAATGTTTCAACCCAATTAAAAGTGATATAATAAATCTTGCAAAAATGTTTTTCACTGATGCAGTATTAACTTGTATTGCCTTTCAATGGAGGAAAATCCATACAATCCAGTGGAAAGAAACTTTCAGCACAATAAACATGTGGATGGAGGTAGCTCAATACTGAGATGCTGCCAGAGAAAATCCCTTTCAAGACTTGGTCAATTTTGTTTTAAAAATTATTTTATTACCTCACTCAAATGCAGAAGTAGAGCATTTATTTAGTCAGATGAATATTGTTAAGGCCAAACTGTGGAATAGACTGAATATTATTTCACTCAGTAGCATATTAACAACTAGATATGGTTTGAAAAGATTAGGGAAATGCAACTATGATTATGAATTGCCAGCAATGTCATTTGAAAAATAGGCACTATAAAATCATATCAACATTTACAGTTTGAAGCAGGACCATCTTTTGAACACAATGAAGAAATTGAAGAAGTAATGGAATTTAGTGACAAATGGACTTTTTGAATAAAGTTAAAAATAGATTAATTAAAGATAAGTTTTTATTTTTTGGTTAGCCATTTTTTTTAGCAAATTTTGAAAATTTTTAAAGTATTTTTAGAGTTCTTTGTTTGCTTTTAGCTACTTTTATTTTTTTGAGTTGGCAATCCTATCTATAAGTAAAGTAACTTCAAAAATAATGTTTCAATGGAGGTTTGTATTACAGTTAAGTTGTATTCCAACAAAACAGTTACAGATTTTCAATTGCAGACAGAGAGGACTGTCATTTCGTAATAAATCAGATTCTATGTAATAAATACGGTTATCCGTAAACATTATGTGAATATAGTATTATACAAGAGGATGCAAAAGTAAATATACACAGTTGTAAATTTGAGAATTACAGTTGTTTGGAGCAGAGTTCTTTATTACTTAATATTTTATTATTTCGCATTCCTTATTTGTGATTTATACATAAGAATGAATGTTCTTCCCCATTATTTTTCCATAATAAAAACTGTGTATCTACTTTAGCACTGCTTGTATATTTTTAATATAGTAAATGGTATTTTACTTGTTGATAATAACAGAACTGCGTAAAAGTTCTGTTAATAAATAATAGGGAAAATGAAATAATTGAGGGAAATAATAGGGAAAATGAAGGCAGATTTACATTTTATTTTTTCAGTAAAATAAATTCCCTTACCAGTCGATCACGATCTAAGCTGAAGATGCTAACAGTTTTATCGAAACTTCCCGATGCTAAACGTTTTCCATCACAGTTCCAGTCCACAGAATGCACCTTAGACGAATGAGCCGGAATATCTTTAACGCGTCCGCAATTTTGGAAATAATGTCTCATAGTTTCAACATACGAATGATTTCCCATTGTGTTTTTGTTTGTTTCAAACAGAAGCGTGGTTACTTAAAACGCGGGACCACTTCCATAAGTTCTATTGCAAAAATTTCCCTATCGTCCAAGAAAAATTTTCTCAAAAAATATATTTCAGTTAAAAATATTAACAAATTTCAAAAATAATTAATTATAGTATAAATAATTTAAATTAATTTTTATTAACTTTAAATAGAGATTGAAATTGTAAGATATTTTCCCTACGTCATTTTTGTGGTCTTCTTAAATTTTTAATCGAGCTAAACACAAAAAAACCATTTAATATTAAATTACATTTACTTAATTATTCTAAATTAATTAATTATTAATAACAATATTTTCTTAGTTTTAATAAATAAAGATTAATCGATGGAAGGAATTTCCTTAAAGTTTACAATTAATATCCCTATTCGAGGGAAATTATTTCATTGGCGCTACTTTGAGATAAATATGTGGGAAGTGTACACGTTTCTACCACGAATTTGCATTAAGTTTGTGTAATTCAGAACGTATTAATAAGTAAAATTATTAATACCCGTAAAGTGTCCGTATATTAACATGTGAAAAGAGTTGGTGTTTGGATTATATGATTAATTCAGAATTAGAGCATTTCAGTGTACTTTGGTTTTAATGGCGGCCAATGTGAATTTGTGTTCTCGCCTCTAAGAATAAACAACGAGGGACGTCCAAAACTTGATATTTTAAATGTAAACACGTGTAAATGAGTTTCTGATGAAAGAAAATAAAAAGAGAAGTTTTTGCAACATGGAAAATTTCGAAGAATCGAACTTCGAAAACATTCGAGAAGAACGTGAGTAATTGTTCTTATTTTACTCTATTTTATATCGTTTATATATCTGCTATTCATTTCGCGTGTAAAAAACTTAACTTAAAAAATGATCAGTTTCATTTAAATAGTGCGGTTTGATTGGCCGCACTATTTAAATGAAACTTATCATTTTTTAAGTAACTATTTACAAGAAATTGTCAATTTCATTAGTCAAACTTTACCTACGTGCACCGTCATGGCCGCACAGGGGGTACCCATGTTCAAACCTAACTTAGAACGGTGCACGTAGGTAAAGTATGACTATTTCATTTAAGTGAAATCCTAGATACATGTGACTGTGGGAAAGTGAAGTCCTTGTGTAATAGAACGCCAGCATTGTCTATTGTAATATGAAGCACTATTTCAAAGAAACAATAGTGAGGAAGCAGTTAACTGGCTGAAGTTTTACCATACTATATTTTTAAACCATATGGTAATGTTTCTCAAATTTTGATGATTAATGACTCTCCAGCAACCCAAAGATTTGCCAAATCACTTAATTTCTTCCTTTTGCTTTCAAAAAAAGTATTTACATAAAAGTGTAATGAGTAATTAAAAAATTTTTGAATTTATTTATTTTTGGTACTGCTACAGATGCAGTGTAGCATTGCTTTCTCTCTGTTTTTTTTAAACAGACACACACCGTAGTCATTTGCAAAACAGAATTATTTGGTGCTGACCTATATAAAAATACTATAAACAAGAAACAGGGATGCACAACCTTTTGTGAAGAAGGGCCAAATTAGGATTAAGTTTACTGACTGGGGGCCGGACCTCCAAGCGATTAATGCGATGGCTGAGATTGGATGCTGGCGACAATCTTTTTTATGTCTGGTGTAATGGCAGATGTTGAAACAACCAGAAGATTTTCCAAATTCTCGTTGGTTAACCTGTTCCGTGTTTTGCACTTGTTTAAATTCATAAGTGAAAACTTGCAAGCTTGTTTGGCAGTACCTATGTATGCTTGTTTGCATACATAGGTACTGCCAAACATGCTTGCACAAAATCGAGCATTGTCTTTCAGTTTTGGAAATGATGTATCTGGCAGTTCTTCGTAGAATGTGAGGAGATTAGAATTTTTAAACTGTGATTTCAATTCATCACTGCACTAGATGTCTATCAACTCAAGTTGGACATCTGGAGGGGCATCTTCCACTTTCACATCAAATGGAGTTGAAAAAAGTTGCAGGTAGATCTTGTATTTCTGGAATTCACCAAACCTCTCATTGAATGATGTAAGGAGG